ATATGTAATGATATAATGATTGTTGGAGGTGCAAAGAGTGACTAAAAATAAATAATATAATGGGAGAATAAGAAAGAAAAGAATAATAACAAATGAATTATGAATATTTGACTATACTTTCCATGGCGTACTAATGCATGATGTCTCCACTACAACATTGACTTCTCTTTTTTTATAATATTTATTTTCATTTAGAGTGAAATTACTACGACCTAACCTTTTCATTGATACGTACACATTATAATGACCATGAAATGCAATTTCTCTTCACATGATTTTATGCATTGTTTCTGTTCAAAATTCAACCTTTTTTTTATTTGAATAAAAATCCAATTAATTTGATATACTAAACCCACATCACATGCTTCTAGCCCAACGATGACTTCCCTTTCCCGTTTTGCTTTCATTCCTTTTCATCAAGTATTAGAGCAATTAGTGTTTCACTTTTTTCTCTATACATTTTACACATTAATTATGATTTTACACAAAATTTTCTTCTATACGCTTTTCACACGTTAATATATAGTCCAATATTATAATAAACCTTAACTTATTCCATGTCACAAAACATTCTTCTCTACACTTTTCATACGTTAATATATAGTCCAATATTCCAAAAAACCTTAACTTATTCCACACGTTGATATACTAAACCCACACCACATGCTTTTAGTCCAACGATGACTTCGCCTGTCCCCTTTTGCTTTCATTCCTTTTCATCAAGTATTAGAGCAATTGATTTTCCACTTTCTTCTCTACACTTTTTATACGTTAATTATAATTTCACACAAAACTTTCTTCTCTACACTTTCCACACGTTAATATATGGTCCAATATTCTAGAAAACCTTAACTTATTCCATGTCTTTCAATTGAAGAATTCTTCATTACAATAATGGAATATTACATCAATAGTATTCTAACCAATAAAATGTTTATAAACCATAAGATTCTTTTTCCATCACATTCATTAGAGGTTTCTTATGCTGGTTCTTGTTAATTATGGTTTCCACAAAAAATTGGATTATAAACAACTATTAGTTGTCACATATCAACTATTAATTGTGAATTTTCCTGAAATAGATAAATCAACTAGGATAATAACTCTTGACTTTATTTTTTTTTATGAATTGTTTTTCATTCAGCCCTTTTCATATCCCAAATCATAACTTGTGAAGCTCATCTTCTCTATTGTTCTACCATGCCCGCTAATAACTTTTACACAAGGATAAAAGAAAATGAAAGAAGTTAGCTCTCTTCAACTTCTTATTATTCTTGGCTTTAGAATGCATGGCATGACTCTTCCATGTATTAAATGAAAACAAAGATAACATAATTATAGTATTATGTGGCATTATAAACTTATCATATGATGTATTGTTATGTAATTAGTTTTTTTATTTAGAAATTCACTAAAAATATTGTTTGCATTCATTTATTTAATATTGTATTATAATTGTAAGTTTATAATTATATATCATATTATAAATATAGTATTATCAAAATAAAAATACTTAACAAAAATTAGGTATAGAAACATAACTCAATGTAAAAGTTGGAATGCTCCATTTTCTCATAATAGTATAAAAAAAA